ATTCGACATCATGAAGATCTCCCCCATAGCTCTGCGATATCCTATAGCCACCCTCCTCATGCTGATGAAGGGTATAACGAGTGGGCATCCTTGCACGAAATTGCTCGCGAACTCTGACACCAAACGCGAGGGCTACGGGAAGCTCAGGTGGCCTCTCACCTATATCTCCGTTTTCGTCAACGCGCGCGGCAACAGTACATATAATGCCATCTACGAGAATCCCGAAACCTTCCCAGGATGGCAATCGTACTATCAATCAACAACCAATCAGTATAGGGAAGATGTCAAAGAAAGCAGAGAGGAGGGGTTCCGACCTATCCAAATCGATGGTCATAGCGGTTTCGCCGTGCCTAGGTTTTCTACCCTCTGGAATGACAACAAGAATGAGATGCCATGGGCGGAGCATATCAATCAGTCCGGTGACGAGTTCACAAAAGCGTTCAAAGACTACGTTAGTAATGGCTACAGACTTAAAAGCCTGAGCGGGTATGGCTTCAATGGCCAGCAGCAATTTGCTAGCGCGTGGGAGAAAACGCCCGGTGCTCCCCAGAAAGCGTACATTGGCTTGACTGCCGCCGAGTACCAGACCACATTCGACCAGGCGAGGAAAGACGGATACTACCCGGTGCGAATCAGCCCATACAATGTCGGCAAGGAGGTCTGGTTTGCTGGAATTTTTGAGCAAATGGATAGCAAGGCTGCTAAGCCAGAGTGTCAATGGGGATTGACATCAGACGAATACGTGGAGGTATTTAACAACTGGACGAAGAAGGGTTACAAGCCAACTGTGGTGAACGGGTATCTCGACGGAGAAGAGAAATATGCTGCCATCTTCAACAAGTTTACCAATGTTAAAGTGTAGGGTTAGTTGCAGGAGAGGAGGAATGATGCCCTAGAGCAATGGAGATGCCAGGTGTAGCAGGGTGGAAGGGGGTTGTTATTGGTTAGCACGGGGTAGATTGTTTATATTGCGTTTTATCAGAGTCTTTTGTTGCGATAGATAGTTGTTCAATCCATTTCGGTTATCATTAGTTATCAATCTCGTCTATCTTGCTATGCTGTAGTTGTGTAGATCTTTAAGTTGCGTAGCGAAGGAGCGAGATAGTGCTTACATAAGCCTCGTGTAAAGCGTGAAATTTTGGCCCAAAACGGCGCCCGTCGTCCTCGTCCTCGTCTGCCTGCTCTCTCGCTCTCTCTTCCTCCTTCTCTTCTCTTCCCTCTCACCACCTCCGTCCCTCAAACCGACGTCGCGTATCTCGCCCTCCTCCGTCCCTCTATCTTTCCCTCACCCCTTCCGCTCCCTCTCTCTCCCTCTTCTCCGCCGCCTCTTTCCTCCCGCCGCCCGCTCTCCCACCGCAACACCTCAAAAACTCGGTCCGCTCTCACCGTACGCCGCAACGCACACAGATCCTGTTCCGTACGACTCGCCTCAAACTCCCGCTGCGATCGCCCTTTTCCTCATAGCGCTTGTTTCGATCTCTTGCACCTTCAGGAATTCCCCTTGTTGTTGCGCCCAAGTGAGCTCTTTCACTCTGCAAACGTTGTATACAAAAAAGACAAGAAAATAACCAGAGACATCTAGAGTGAGTTTCCGCTCTTTGTTCGACTCATATTCACCCAAGTCAAAAAGACGAATTCCTCCCTGCCGATGGCCCTTTTCCCCTCCTCTACATTTGCTAAGATATGATCGTTTTTCCCGTCGATAGATCAATATAACTCCTCGCAACAAAAACGAAATACAAACAGCCATGTCTGCCACCGAACAACGTGAATCCGGCCCTGGCCCAGCTGAGGAGAACCTAACTGAGAACTTCGGTCGCGTCAGCGTAAACGATCAAGCCGAAGCTGAGGCTCCTCCAAAGACCGAAGAAGAGTATGCTCAGTCGATGCTGACCCTGCGCGCCATCGTTTCCTCCAAGGAAGCCGGTGTCATCATTGGGAAGGCGGGGAAAAACGTTGCCGACCTGCGTGATGAGACTGGTGTAAAGGCCGGTGTTAGCAAAGTCGTGCAAGGTGTACATGACCGCGTTCTCACCGTTACTGGCCCTCTCCAAGGCACTTCAAAGGCATACTCGATCGTGGCGAAGAGTCTACTAGAGGGTGCTCCCCAGATGGGCATGGGTGGAGTGGTCCAAAACAACGGCACACACTGTAAGTCTTTCTATTTGACTTTTAAAACTACTGTTTCACTTATAAGGGGGGGAGGGAGAAGAGAAGCAGCTAAAACTAACTGTTTGACTCTAGCTGTTCGGCTCCTCATCTCACACAACCAGATGGGCACCATCATCGGGCGACAGGGACTGAAGATCAAGTACATCCAAGATGCCTCCGGAGTCCGTATGGTTGCTCAGAAGGAAATGCTACCCCAGTCCACCGAAAGAATTGTCGAAGTCCAAGGCACCCCAGAAGGAATTGAAAAGGCCATTTGGGAGATTGGAAAATGTCTGATTGATGACTGGCAACGCGGCACTGGCACTGTCCTCTACAATCCTGCCGTTCGGGCTTCCGTCGGCTCCGGCCCTGGCCAAGGCCCTGTTGCTGGATCTAACCCTAGCTATGGAGGAAGTAGCCGATCGTATAACCGTACCGGAAACGGTGCTGACTTCAGCGACCACCCAGGCAGCTATAATCGACGTGGAAACAATGACAACCCAAACCGCGGCATTCCCCTGGTGACAGAGGATGGTGAGGAGGTTCAAACCCAGAATATCAGCATCCCCTCTGACATGGTCGGCTGCATTATCGGTCGTGGTGGTACCAAGATTAGTGAGATCCGACGAAGCTCTGGGGCACGAATTTCTATCGCTAAAGCTCCCCATGATGATACTGGGGAGCGCATGTTTACGATCATGGGCAGTGCCCAAGCAAACGAAAAAGCGCTTTACCTTCTCTACGAAAACCTTGAAGCTGAGAAGATGCGCCGCAGCCAGCAGCAGCCAGAGTAAAGCTGGCCTCTTCTGGAACCACTCCTGTTAGGCCGCCTGGCTGCGTCGAAACCACCGCCTGCCTCTGGAGTTACAGCCTTGCAACACCGCTAGCACCTTTTTGATCCGGGGTATCCGTCATATTGTTACTCTTCTGTTCCGCCTTCTTTTCCCACTTCCTCCCATCCTCAAAGTACTTACGTTCTCCCTTTATTTCTATCATTCGTCTTCAAATGCCTCCCCTTCCTGCCTTTTACCTGTTTAAAAGGGCCTTGGAACCCTTCCTTAACTTCGATATTTTCATTCGATGATTTCCTCCGAATAAAACCATTCCACTCCTCTCCTTTGCCGCCCCTTGCCGCTGCTCTATCCCTGCCATACTTTCCGCGCTGATTACTACCCAACGTCCCCGGCTAGTATACTCTAAGGGTGTTTGTTCCCACCACCCCCTTCGCTTAAAGCCCGCTCTATCTTTCCCCTTTCCCCTTCATACTTACCGTCACACGTTTCCGTCCCGAAACACCTCCTCCTTACACAGCATGCTTTTCTTCTCGTCACGGCCTCAAGTCTTCTATCCTGCGCCCGTATGGGTATTTTATGCCTCTCAAAAATTGTTTCTACTTATGGAGAACGTATGAAATATAGTGGATGGGCAACTACAAAAGTATACAAAAAATAAACTAGGTTTGACGATACCAGCAGTTAGACTGTCCATTTTTAACTACCACTTTTAACTAGCTGCCTTCAGCCTGTTAAAATGATCGTAGAAAATGCCTCTATCTGTGGATACTAGCGAATTATACCCTTAAGATTTATGAAAAGTGTTTCGTGCCGGTCAGTGCCCTTCTGTCAAATAGTTAATCCACCCAATTGAACGATGCCTAAATCTTTAAAAAAACCATCAGTGAAAGGCGACTCTCCATCCAAAAACTTCATCGTAACCCTCGTCCTCGCCCGGGCTAGAGTACTCAGCATCATCATCGTCCTCACCTCCGTCTGCTCCCTCAGTCTCTTCCGTATCCTCTGATAGTTCCTGTTCGTCCTCAGTCTCATCTTCAATCCCATGTTCAAATGGGACGATCTCAAATGGTGCGTTCTCCGGCTCCTCGTTTTTGAAATTCGCGATGACCTGGAAACAAGACAACTTCCTTATCCCCATCAAAGCTGGGTAGAGTTTTCTTTCTAAAAGAGGCCTGAAATAATTCCCTGGTCTACTGTCCTTACGCCGCATAATGCTTATATGCAAATGCCTAAGACCCGGGAGTTGTTCGTTGAAGAGCTCGACAGCTTTGGCCCAGCTCTTTTCAGCGAAATAACCCTCAACGTGATCATCACAGCATAGACAGCCATACTCGGCATTAAGTCGTATATCAATCCAGATGGTACGTATATTATCAAGGGCTGCGGGTGGGAACCTTGTAACATTCTCCGGGGGCGTGAACACCTTGAACACCGTATTCCTGTAGAAAACTGCAAATGCCTCGAAATACCTATATTACTGGTGAGCAGCCGCTCATAGTAACCAGCTGGTAGTTAACATGGCTGGGAAGTGGTTTGTCACTTACATTTGCTGACAGGTTTGCAGCAGCATCGTCGACCCATCTACTGGAAAACATTGTGGTGGTGTACCTGGACCCGCTCCGCTTATCCAATATAAAGGCGTCTCATCGGGTTTGATTCTTGGAAGTTCTCCAAATACGAAGGAGTATACATATTCCCGAAGTTCTGGTAGTAACTTGGTGAAAAATACTGACTGGGTTTGAGGTAGCTGAGGGCTCTTGAACCGTGGGGTATCGTGAGATTCGTCCGCGGTGGATGAATTGGTAGCCATTCTTGCTAGTCTTCCTTACGGCGAAGGAACTGGTTTAGAAGCAACCTGGCTATCCCAATATCTTCATATTCCGCCTAACTTGATGAAGTTGGTAGTGATAATATATATATCGGTTGGTGTTTCCAAACCAGCTGATTCCCCGCGGTGCCCGAGTTCATACTCCGACCGCTGCAAATTTGATTCGTGCAGGAGACTCCCCTATCAATTTGCTAGTTTGTAACTAGTATTGGCTTTCGAACTCGAACTACTAGTGCCTAGTCAATGTCATAAAAGCATCTATGCAGACACTGATGGTATTAACCTTTTGAAAGGTGGCCAAGTTGGTTGCCCGTTAGCCGCCGTGAGTTTAACAATTCAACTACTTAGGTACATAGGTTATTAGTGCGTGTAACCTAACTACCGTCACTGGTTTCTCATGCTGCATCTAAGGCTCAAAAATTCCCAACAACTGGTTTAGAAGCCTTAGATCAACTTCCGAAGATAGAAGAGGAAAGATATGGCCATTATATTGCAGAACGTTTCTATCCATCCATTACATACTGGCGCAAACCATTACAAAGCTCGGATATGGAGCAACCTCTACCATATAGCTCTGCCGGGTACTACCAGTGTGCCTGTTAAGGATAGATGAACTCTCAGCTCTTATTCATTGTGGTAACTAGTTTCATTATTTGGCAATTGTCCTTCCACATAAGGCCTTATTTGAAAATTCAGCTCGACATCTCTTCCGCTCGCACTTTCTCGAACGTCTCTAGGAAAGTGGTTGGATCCTCTGCTCCTCCGATCTGGTATTTCCCCTGGATCGTGAAATTGGGAACACCTGAAATGTACGCCCTTTTAGCCTCTAGGACTTCTTCATCAACCTCATGCCCACCTTGGTCGCTCTTTAGCCACGCCCTAACCTCACTCGCATCTAAGCCAGCCTTCACTCCAGCAGCGGTAAGGGTATCATGAGAAGTAATATCCCCTTCATTCTCGAAATACGATGCAAACAATTCTTCAACAACTCGTGTCTGGACCGCTTCACCTTTGGTTTTCCCCAGCTGAATCAACCTATGTGAGTCGCGGGTGTTTCCTGTCCGCCCACCGGATTTGAAGTCAATACCCTCAGCTTGTCCAACCTGAGCCAGGCGAGCTTGCATCATTGTTACCCGCTCGGGGCCAAAACGAGCGTTGAGGTATTCGGTCTTATCAACGCCAACCTCTGGAGCATGGGGGTTCAAATAATACGGAGACCAGGAGATACTGAAAATATCCTTAGAATCGGGGTGGGCTGCCTTGTATAGGCTAATTCCTCTCTCAAGGCGTTTCTTTCCCACATAACACCACTATATCCCCGTCAGATCTGGCACATATTGCGCTGCAGAGAACATTAAGCAGATACAACTGACCGGACACACTGTGTCAGAGACAATCTTGATTTTGAATTTCGTCATTGCGTCGATATCGGATTGCCTGGAGGTCGTATTGCATATGAATGAGTACAATCTTCCCTTAACTCCAGCATTTATTTGAACTCTTCGGCTTTAAAAAGATGATGTTCATTCGTATTCAAATATAGTTACCCGGATAGACTTCAATGTCCCAAGCATGCTTATAAATCCACTGCCTAAGGTGGGTAACTATCTAGTAGTTAGCCGTCGCATAACGAGTCAACTAACCGAGCAGGAGATATGTAGTTACATATAAGGAGCATACGGGAGAGAGTCATTCTATTCTATAATTATAGGCGCCGTTTGGCTGCCTGTATGGCCTGTATCATATGTTATCCCATATTACATTCCATGCACACGGCCATGAGGACATCTCGGGTGCTTAGCAAGTTCCCCACTAGTTAACTAGTTAACCGGTTTCAGGTGGGGATAGACAGAATCCCCGCGATGCGAGGCAAAGATGGACATCGACAAGACGGAGTTTAGACATGGCGATATGAGTTAAGAGATCTCTCCAGGATAACAACTAAACTCCGTGGCGGTCTATATAACCATCTATCATCCTGTCATAAAAGCAAGAAAAACGTCCCTGGACTGCTAGTCAACTATCAGATATCAAAACTTAGTCAACTACCTGTTACCTACGAAACACCTATCCAGAACAGAAAGAATTTAACCATGACTCGCATTCTCCTTACTGGTAAGCCTACTAAATAATCAGTTAAAAAGAAAATGCTGATTTAACATAGGTGGAAGCGGCTTCATCGCTGCACACGTTCTTGATACCCTTCTTGAACGTGGCCATTCCGTGGTAACGACGGTTCGGTCTCAGGAAAAGGGCCAAAGAATCCTCGATGCCCACCCACAGATTGGAAAAGACAGGCTGGACTTTGTGGTAGTTGAGGACATTTCACAGCCAAATGGTAATCTTCCTCACAACCTATCAGCAGCATAAGCGGTAGATGCATCGCTAACCGAATTTCAGCATTTGAGAGAGCTGTTATTTCTGAGCCCCCCTTCGAGGCAGTAATCCATACTGCCAGCCCCTTCCATTTCAAGACAACGGATGCTAGGAAGGACCTTCTTGCTCCAGGTATGTCGACTATTATGACCCAAGACTTACTTTTGCTAAGCAAGATATGTATAGCTATCAATGGAACATCCGGCATCCTTCAAGCTATCAAGAAAAATGCCCCCTCCGTGAAGAGAGTAGTCGTCACCTCCTCATTTGCTGCAATAATCGATCCCACAAAACCGAGCAGCTATGTGTATTCGGAGGTAAACTAAGCTCTAGAACCTGAACTGTTTATAACGTTGCCTTTCAATGCTAAAGATGGTCAATAGGCGGATTGGAACCCAATCAAAGAGGAGGAGGTTGACAAGAACCCAACTTTCGGATACCGTGGTAGTAAGACGTTCGCGGTATGTCAGCTGGTAATACTCAACATGAAAGGCCAGTGCTAACATGGTTATTCCATAACAGGAAAAAGCAGCATGGGATTTCATTGAAAAAGAAAAGCCTGGATTCACCCTTGCAACGGTACGTGTACTTGATCTTCACTATTTAAAAGTAGAGAAATCATATGCTCATACCACCCCATTTAGTGCAACCCGCCCCTTGTCCTTGGCCCTGTTATTCATTACTTAGCCTCTTTGGATGCTATCAACACGTCGAATGAACGCATCAGTGATTTAATCTCAGGAAAGGGCAAGGACAGCTGTCCACCCACCGGAACATCCCTCTGGGTGGATGTTCGCGATGTTGCCATGGCCCATGTCCTCGCAGCTGAGAAGCCAGAGGCAGCAAACAAGCGATTCTTCCTTGTCGCTGGCACTTATAGTAATGAGGAGATCGTTGGCATTATCTCCGAGAAGTTCCCCGAGCTAAAGGACAAGCTGCCCTCTGGTGACGCTCTTATTCCGGGAGTTGTGCCCAAAGAATCACGTCTTGGTTTTGATAGCTCGAGGTCTAAAGAAGTCCTTGGGCTGACATACCGACCATTGACTGAATCTGTGGTGGATGCGGTGAAGAGTCTTCAACGGCATTTGTAGTTGTATTTTGACTATATACATCGCACGGCTTCGCTGCGCTCACGTCTCTTGTTGTGCTGCCCCTTAGACGACGTATTAGCTACTGGATTAATAAAAAGAAGAAGAAGAATTGAAGATATTACCATTATGAAGACAATCCACTCTACTTTACCGGCCCTGTTCACTACTATAAGCGAAAATAGTCCACAACTGGGTTTGCTGCCCTTGAACGAAATCGTTGGCATCAAGACCGAAATAAGGTAAAGCGACTAGACTGTAAAATAGGTTATTAGGCATGAATTATAAAGGAGATGGGAATGGCAATGTACAGAGGATAATTCAAAACTCTTAATACCCGGTGGGTGGTACTAGTGTGGTAGGCACGCCTGGAATAAACCCATCTGCAAGTCCCAAGTATAAAAATATCTAGAAACGGGGGCCGGCAAAGGGAACTGTTCTCAGCTCATAGGCATTCCAGGTGTGCAAGATAATGAAGGGTCAACCTCGAGGGGGTCAGTGCCGAATAGCCGGTCGCCTATTTCACAAAACCTGTGATAACTCATAACCAGCTTGCGGCTAGACTCAAAGAGTGCGAATGTGTTTTCAGCTACCTCGTCGCAGTCGCCGGGTATGTCTATCCAGGGCGCAATTTTGTACTCGGGGTTATGGTATGAGCTAATTACTGCATATCTAGCAAAGCTGGATGGGAGTATACTTGTTTCTGAGAAGTCAATAATCGTAATATGTCCGTCGTCACTAATGATAAAGTTTCCGGGATGGATATCTGTATAGCAAAAGACCATTGGTTCGTTAGAGAGCCCTTGCAATTGTTTTTTTGATCTCGTTTTTCGTGAATGCTACACGTATGTAAGCATAATATTTTTTAAAACATATATTACCCCCTATGCCTTTTACTTTAACTACTAAAATTAAAGGTAGTAGAAAAATAAAAGGAGGGTAGTAATAGTAACTAAGACACTAAGTAACTAGGAAATTGAGTAAGAAAGTAATCTAGAGAGAAGCTAAGGGAGAGGCCTAAAGAGAGAGGTATAGAGAGAGGCACAGAGAGAGGCCCAGGAAGTGGGAAGAGAAAGGAAGAGGGAGGTGCTTAGGTAAGGTGTGTAAAGTATTACCCATATAAAAAGGTGCTATTTAAAATACCATTTTTATTATTGGCTGTGTGGCATTATCGCTATACAGGCTACAAACGAATAATGATGGCATGGCCGCTATCGTCCGCCATACCAGAGACCCCACCAGCCGCGGTTCTTGAGTTTGGGCAGTCAAATTCTAGCTTAGTTCATGCGGCTCTATGCGCGCCAAGCACTAAACCCAAGGAAAATAAACTGTCTCGCATAACTACCAGTTCCATCGATTCCGATAAATTCTGGCAGTACCAACATTCTGAAGTTGCATTTCCCAACTTCCTACGATTTACTCCGTACTACTCCGTACAGAGTTGGTTAGGCCCCATTGTCCGTATCCACAAATACTAGGCCTGCCTTCTCGATACCCGCCCCATATCGGCTTGCAGTCCTTCCCAACACCTCTCGAAACTACCTAACCTATTATTCATTATGTTTTTCTTCACGTATATGTATGCTAGTTTCCGACCGCTTCCTTAAACTAAAGGCAATAATACGTCCAATACCCGATTCCTCCTTATATTTCTAAGTAAAGGAAGACACTTGGCGGAATTACATGCAAGGAAGCTGTGCCCATGGCTGGAGCCATGTCTGTGACGACAAGGTTGTCCCGCTTGCAGCAATCCTGGTTCGGAGGCTTGCATCAATTGTTCCGTTTGTATCTCGGCCCAGGCTTATGAGCCGTAGAAGCACTGCTACGGAGCATCAGTCTATCCGGCTTCACCAGGAGATAAGGATATGCCAGCTTAGGACCAAGTATAACTTTGAGGTGTGCTAGCAACCCATATCTCAAAAAGGCCGGTTTAAAGGCCCACGTTACATTTACTACAATATCAATCATGGACAGGAACTCTTGCACTAACGGAATTCCAACCAATGAACGGCCAGGATGCGTCGCCCAACATATGTCCACAAGCAACCAGGCGGATGAACTTCGTTATGGAATCTCAAAAGTCGCTATTAGGCTCTCAATATCCTCTAACTCCGTCCCTATTGGGGAACAGTCACAGGTACTCAATCCTCTACCTGGTAGCAGGCTCGATCCTTCGTCTCCGGCATTTGATGCCCGTCTTTGGGTGAAAGAATTTATCCGATTGGTAGAATCAGATCCTGCGTCAGCCCCCTTTCGGTCCCTTGGTGTTGCCTTCAAAGACCTTAGTGTGTTTGCATATGGCACAGCCGCTGAGCTCCAAAAAACGACTGGAAATGTTGTTTTTGGAGCTATAACCCACTTGTCGAAATGGTTTCGCGGAAATCGGTATGGTAGGCGTGTGGATATTTTGTGTGATTTCGAAGGGGTTCTAGAAGCTGGCGAAATGCTGCTCGTCCTAGGGCCCCCTGGATCCGGCTGTTCTACACTTCTCAAGTCGCTATCAGGAGAAACATCAGGTCTGCATGTGGCTCCAGAATCATACATTAACTTTCGAGGTTCGTCTTTAACATAATTCGTCACTTTTATATTAAAGTGATTGTACTAATCGACTCTAGGATTGAATCTTGCTAATATCCGTTCCTCATTTCGTGGTGATATTCTATATAATGCGGAGCTCGATACACATCTAGCACATCTAACCGTTGGAGAGACATTGACATTTGCCTCTCGTGCCCGCTCCATCTGCCATATCCCAGGCGAATTTACTCGCCTTCAGTTCGATACAATGCGTCGCGATGTTATGATGGCCATCTTTGGCCTGAATCATACCATCAATACCCGTGTTGGCGACGATTTTATCCGTGGAGTTAGTGGTGGAGAACGAAAGCGAGTTAGTATTGCGGAAGCGTCTCTAACTGGAGCGAAATTCCAATGCTGGGATAACTCAACTCGTGGTCTCGACAGCGCAAATGCTATAAATTTTTGCAACAGCTTGCGACTTCAGGCAGACTTACTGGGTGTAACATCAGTGGTTACCTTGTATCAAGCACCTCAGGCAGCTTACGATGTGAGTATTCTGGTAATAATAAATGTTTAAACCGCGAAATCTCTCTGGCTAAACCTCGGCCCTGCTCCAGCTATTCGACCGTGTGACTTTGATATACGATGGCAGACAAATATTTTTCGGTCAGGTTACTGAGGCAAAGGACTACTTCGAGGCACTAGGCTTTTACTGTAAGTACCTTATGTTTAGGGACCTCTAATTATCCGTGGCTTTAGGGTTAATATTCTCTTTTTTTGTATATATAGGCCCTCCCAGGCAAACCATTCCTGATTTTCTGACGTCCATGACTAGCCCGGAAGAGCGGAGGGTGAGACCCGGCTTTGAGGACTCAGTGCCTCGCTCACCGGATGAGTTTGCTAAAAGATGGCAAGCAAGTGATCAACGAAAAAATCTGCGGCTTGAACTTGCAACATACGAGCGAAGACATCCTCCAGAAGAGAGAATGAAGGAATACTCGCTCTCTAGACAAGCTGAGCAAGCTAAAGGGCAACGCTCCAAGTCTGTTTATACTATATCATACACTCAACAAATATCTCTGGCTCTCTGGCGTGCGTACCGAAGGTTATTGGCCGATCCTGGATTTACCATTGCTTCCCTTTTATTTAACGTCATAATGGCGCTCATCTTAGGAAGCATGTTTTATAACCTTAGCACTGATACATCCAGCTTCTACTATCGCGGTGGGCTTATCTTCTTCTCTCTCCTCTTCAATGCCTTTGCAAGCCAGCTTGAGGTTAGTTACTCCATTAATTCAACGTTCAATTCTTTCGACAGTTGAATCATTCATGTTAATTCTAATTGGGAACAGGTCCTAACCATTTACGCTGAACGTCCTGTCGTTGAGAAGCAAAATCGCTATGCTTTCTACCACCAGTCCGCCCAGGCCATTGCAAGTTACTTAACTGATTTGCCATATAAGGTTGTTAATATGTTTATATTCAACATCCTTATATACTTTATGGCTAATCTTAGGCGAGAGGTGGGAGCTTTCTTCTTCTTCTGCTTAACTACACTTCTCACAACGTTGGTTCAATCGGCTATCTTTCGCACATTAGCTTGCTTGACCCGAACCCCTGATCAGGCCATGATACCCAGCGCTGTTTTAAGCCTTGGGCTTATGATATATACTGGATTCACCACGCCACTAGAGTATATGCCTAGGTGGTCACGTTGGATGGCGTATATCAATCCCCTAGCGTACGGCTTTGAGGCTTTAATGGCAAATGAGTTTCATAATAGGGACTTCCCATGTGCTAGTATTGTGCCAAGTGGTAAATGGTATACAAATCTGCCATCTGTCTCCCAGGTATGCTCTGTTGTTGGCTCGGAGGCTGGTTTGGCCTTTGTCAATGGAGATAATTATATCAGCAAATCTTTTGATTATTGGAATGTGCATAAGTGGAGGTAAGTATACATCACTATCTATCAAGAGGGCCTAGAGGCTAACTGAGGAATGGAAACAGAAACATTGGCATTCTCTGTGCTTTTTTAGCTTTCTTTTTTCCGGCCTATGTCCTCGCCGCTGAGCTTGCGAAGCCACCCAAAACACGGGGGGAGATTCTATTATTTCACAGCTGCAAAGGACTTCCAAAGCCAGGCAAGGAGTTGGCTCGAGACGCTGAGAGCCAGGTACAAAGCCATCTGGGAAAAGAGGAGAAGGTAGAATCTTCAAGCCAGTTGAACAAGATCGCTGCTGGGAAGGATATATTTCACTGGCAGGATCTTTGTTATGACATCAGGATCAAGGGAGGAAAGCGTCGCCTTTTGGACCATGTTGACGGCTGGGTCAAACCCGGAGTATCAACCATTCTTATGGTATCAATCAAACCAACCTTCTATTGCAAGCTTGTAAAACATGCTAATGCTCTTCTATCAGGGCGTATCCGGTGCAGGAAAAACGACCCTGCTAGATGTCTTAGCGACACGCGTTACCACCGGAGTTGTAACTGGTGATACAATGGTGAATGGAAGTCCTACAACCCCTTTCTTTCAGCATAAGGTTGGCTATGTTCAGCAACAGGATCTGCACCTTAGCACAATGACTGTTCGAGAAGCGCTTCAGTTTAGTGCTATACTTCGGCAGTCTGCCGAGATACCCAAACCTGAGAAGCTTAAATACGTTGAATATGTTATTAATACACTAGGCATGCAAGGATTTTCAGATGCTGTCATAGGTGTCCCCGGTGAGGGACTCAATGTCGAGCAGCGCAAACGTCTTACTATTGGCGTAGAGCTTGCTGCTCAACCGCAATTGCTTGTCTTCTTCGATGAACCAACCTCAGGGCTAGATTCCCAGACTTCTTGGGCCATATCTGAACTTATCAAAAAATTAGCAAACAATGGCCAGGCTGTTCTCTGCACTATCCACCAGCCCTCTGCTATTTTATTTGACCAGTTTGACCGACTGCTTCTTATAGCTCCCGGAGGCAAAACGGTCTACTTTGGAGGTGGGTAACTACCCCTTAAATCTCTGCTACTACGGCTAAATAAATCAACCCTTAGATTTAGGTGATGGCGCTTCGACCCTGATTAACTACTTCGAAAAAAACAGTGCTCCTGAATGTCCAGCAGGTGCTAATCCTGCAGAATGGATGCTAGAGGTAATCCAGTCACCTTCAGGTAGCTCTACGGGAAAAGATTGGCACCAGATATGGTTGGATTCCCCCGAATATCAGGCAGTCCAGGCAGAACTTCATCGCCTTCGATCTCTTTCTACTATAGAAGCCACGGATAGTAAAGTTGATCCCCAAAATCAGGAATTCGTGTCCTCTTTCTGGATACAATTCAGCGAAGTTCTACAGCGCACCTGGAAACACCTCTGGCGATCGCCGATTTATATTTGGTCCAAAATAATACTAATTATTCTCTCTGTATGTTGGCGTTTTCATTTCGTCCTTAATTCAATGTCTAATATCATATCCTGCTTTCTAGTCGCTTTACCTCGGGTTCAGTTTTGATGCCAACAATTCCATCCAAGGACTGCAAAACCAATTATGGGCTAGTTTCATGCTGCTCGTCCTTTTTATCAACATCAATGAGCAGGTTATGCCTATGTTCATACCTCAGCGTGCACTATATGAGGCGCGCGAACGGCCATCCAAGATATACAGATGGACAAGTAAGGCACTGTTTCTTTTATATGCACTCTAGTGACAATCCACTAATCATCTCTCCTACAGCATACTTACTCTCCAATATCCTTGTTGAGCTTGTATGGCATTCCGTGATGGCGGCCATCATGTATTTTTGCTGGTATTATCCAGTCGGATTTGTCCGAAATACTACTCCTAATGACCAGGCTATCCGTGGTTTCCTTGTATTCCTCTTCCTATGGGTTTACTTATTATTCACGAGTACCTTTGCACATTTTGCCATTTTCTGGATTGATCTCCCCGAGACTGCAGGGGTATTGACCAGTCTTTTCTGGATGCTATGTATCCTGTTCTGTGGGTGAGTCAATTCCCTTCCTAACATCCGCAATATCGCCTCCGTGCTAAGCAAGAAAGCAGTGTCGGGGTCCTCGCAGCAGACCTTCCGAAGTTTTGGTCGTTCATGTATCGTGTCTCACCAGCAACATACCTTGTTGGTGGTCTCATGTCTAGCGCTGTTGCTAACTCGGGCGTAAAATGTGCTGATAGAGAGATTCTTCGCATGGCCCCAACCGGAAATCTCACATGCAAAGAGTTCCTGGCCCCTTATATCGAAGGAGCTGGGGGTGTTGTGCTCAACCCGGCATCTCAAGGAATATGCGAATACTGCCCGCTTGCTACAACAAACGAATTTCTTGACCGATTCCAGATTTCGTATGATACGAGATGGAGAGACTTCGCTCTTGTATGGGTATATATCCTCGCGAACATTGTCGCAGGGTTAGGGTTTTATTGGCTGTTCAAAGTCCCAAGAGGCAGAGGTATCAAGCGGGCTTGAGTCGTTTGCAGCCTAAAATGTTAACAGCATCCTCGGTCTAGATAATGTAATGTCATGTAGCCGTTACCCCTCTGTCTGGCATAATTGGCCTGAAAGAACCTCTCACCAAAGACATCAATGCAATGACATCTTTTAGCTTGTTACAAGATACGAGGTTGGTAGAGAAAAACCGTCCAAGTCTCCCCAGGTTTTACGTTATATGAATCAACATCACATCTCGACTTCCTTCGGGTGTACGGCAAAACCAACCCCCTCGCCTTTTTAAGTTGGATAAGCGGAGGGATTAATATCGACTGAGATACATTCCAAGGGTTATGATGGGAGTTCCTTGACCACTTACTACAAGTGGGAGGTGCTGAGAGAGTGCAACCATGATTGCATGATCTTAGCACTGTATAATGAAATGAGGCAGGGTTTCGTGCAGCAAAAGGGATAACTAACGTGTAGAAACAGCAGGGCACTGCCAGGCTATGAGGTACATGTTGTCGAGGAGCCGATGCCTTTCAGCTAAATCATATTTCTCTGCTGATAGTCATCACAACTAGTTATAGAAGTGGAGTGAACAAGGAGAGGTGATATCACTAACAGTTACTGATATCACTAACATTTCATTATTTATCCCTTGAAAGAACATTGGTCTGGTCTTCATTAAATTAACTAGTTAGTTGGTAGGCAGAAGACTAGAGATTTGCTTAGCTTTATGATCCATTTTCTCATTTTAGCACCCTTCTAGGTACCAGGCAGAAGGGAGCCTAGATTCCAGGGCCCCAAGTTCCTAGGTATTCTCGAGACATTTCTCGCTTGCCCGAGTCGTATGCGCGAAGTTCGTAAAATTACTCCGCACCTCGAGGACGAGTTCGCCGTAGTTATATATTTCTTCGGGACATTTAACTATTTGGGTCGTTGGCCTATCCGTTCAGCAATGGCAACGGCTAATGCACCCCTTCTCGTATCGCCCATGAGCCCTCCGTGTATGCGCCGCCGCTGGCCATCATGAAATATGTTGGCTCCAACATCGTCACAGGTGGACCCTGAAACGCGCCAGGCGACTAGAGTTAACTGTGATGGCAAACAAGCTGTCGGATCACAATAATCGGCCAACACAGTTTTCAGCGTGCAGATGTGATACATATGATTGTCAAATTCGACCCCGGATCAGGCGGGATCTTCAGGTTAACCGGATCTGCGTCCATGTGTTTATTTGGATCTGGATTGAATGATGATGGTATCTGGGTTTGATACCAGTCCAGTCTGAAAGAATTTTGTGCTCCCCTGAGTTGTCAGCCTTTTCGGGACCTGCATACTCCTCCGTACATCAAAAAGAAGAGTGCATAGTTCATTGTCAAAAGAACGGTTGATTTAGTGAGCTCCACCGACAGGGGCAAAAAGCGAAGGCCTCGACTCTGCATGCTAGTAATGCACCCATACATAAACAGAGGTAACCCCTGCCTCCCGGAGCGTATGTTCAGACCACCAACTGTATATCCTGACATGACCGATCAAATTGAGGGAGGTAATGTAAAGTGAGCGACATGGCAGCCGAGACATGCAAGCGGCCTATCTTGGACAAGGCAGAGCAGGCGAATTTGTAACATTTTCGATAATTTCCTCGGATACGGCTTCTCGATGACATGCAGATGATTGACGGGCAGTCGTTGCTTTTCCCTTCGCTACCGAGATAACATTTGAGCTCGCCTGCGCGGTCGTCCAATAGAACAGAGGCGCTACTTGGCTTCGATCAGATATCCACCGCCTGAGGGCCCCGTTCTGCGTTCTCCAGGGGAGTCGCTCATCAAATAGTGGCTTTTTAGTCCAGATGTCTGAACTGCCTGTGGTCGAACCTTCCTGGCAAGTTGTTGACTCTGACTCGTTGGCCGAAACCCACTGTCACTCCCTTTCCCCAAAGTCCCAAACCAGGCGGAGCAGAAGTGAGGCACTGTTGGGTGTTCGTTCGGTTCGGTGGGTAAGGGGAGAACAGAATAGGGGGAGACCGTCGATTGGACGGTGGCCGGTACGAAAGAACCTGCTTCTGGCAACATGTTCACTCGACCAGGAGGACCCGAGCGTGTCATCAGGTCGTATTTAATAGTTAGTTGCTTCGTAGTTATCCAGCAGTTAGATCGGAGAGAAAAATCTGGTGGCACGACCTGCTGTTCTTGTCGATACTTCCGGAATGCGAACACATGGAAACGCTAACAGTGATTAGGTGTGCGCCTTCAACGGTCCCGCTCTTGCAAGGGATGAAAGCGAGGCCATTCGCATAAGTATAGTTTTAGCTGTCTGGCACGCCACTCGGGGCGCTCCATGTGGACCCCGGGGAGGCTGTCTGGATGGCTATACATAGAGCTTGTCCCAGCCCGCTGTCTGTCAGCCTGGTCTGACGTTGAAGTAAATCTTCCGCTTCGCCCAAGCCATTTGGACATTCCTTTTGTCTCTCCTTCTCTCTCTCACTCATTACTCACTTACTCACTTTCTCTTGTGCTCCCTCTCTCATACATCCACTGTATCGGTCTTCTCTCTATTTCTAACAACAAGGCGGGACCTTCATGTCTTCCTCGATATAATAATGCAAATGTCAGCACGGTTGATACTTCGTCTAGAGCATGGCCATATACTAGCCCAACCATAGGGACGTTGACATCTTCATCGCCGGGTTGAGTCCGGTTCAACAATCGAGCAGGAGCGGTGGCGCACAGGATGCACGTTGAAGGACAACCGGGCGATTCCATCCATCGCCCGACTGACCCAGATGGCCTGGTGTTGGAGGCCTGGGCGCAGGGCTTCATGGTGGGAGCTCTGCTGTTTATGATCGCAATCACCATTGCCAACATGAGACGGAAAGCTTTGCTTCATAAGCTCATTCTCCTGGAGGTAAGCCGCTTGGCCCCGGCCTTCACCCTCTGGTGCAAGATATTGATGTGACAGTGCAGTTGATTCTCGGGATGGGCCATGGGACATTCTTGTTTGCCCACGAGCCGGTCTATGGCTGGTACCTCTCAATTACGGCGATCGGGTTGAACATGTCTTGGAGTCTGCACAATGTGATTGCATGGATGAAGAATAAGCCGTTTCTGACCTACCGGGTCTCGATGTTTTATATCGGCACCGTCATTCTGGCCCAGATCTACTGGGTTATCGAAATATATGCGAACTTCGCTTTTTTCAACAATATCAACATGCTCTTCTTGAAGACACGGCCATGGGAGCCTCTCTTCCGGTAAGAAGGAGCTGGTAGATGATATATTTGCAGAAAGCTTCATGAAGAGCTGACAAGGACCTTACAGTGACCCATGGTGGATATACACGACCTGCAACATATTCTGGGTGATCAAGTCCCAATACGACTTCAGCTTCACCGAGGTCGTCCGTCACAGCCCTCGGTTCGGAGTCATGTTGGTATCGATGTGCATCTCTATCGTCTTCATCGTCGTCGACGTCCTTAGCGTTCTCGGCGTGTTTCGAGGTGCTTTGCCAACGGGTCTCAATCCGTTCTGGAAGGTATATATACATATATCGTAACCCCAAGCAGCCTGAAGGGAGACAACTAATGAGTTTCTGATTCAAATAGATATCCTTCGTCTGCAAATGTTTCTGCGATGCCGTTATTCTCGATGACTTCAAGACGGCCCTGGATAAATTGCGCGACTACTGGCTCCTAAAGAACGGCGCAACAGACGTTAACAGCGAGCCTTCAAGCCGACACAACAATACCCGACGACATCGAAGCAACGGCGCTCGCCGCGCCTCTAACACGATGATCATAGTCGAACCCGAGCCAGTGAAGAGTCGAAATGGAGAGGGCGCCAGCTGGAACTGCACTCCGCCTCTCCCGTCGAACTTCCATAACGCACGACGTAGCTATCAACGAGGATTTTCACACAGCGGCGACGGGATAGTTTGAAAGCGTCATCAGGCTGGGTATAGGATGTGCCTGAAGACAGTGACCGAGCCATGGGTTGATTGTGTTGAAGTATTCGCGAGCTACTTCACTTCGCCCTTCGCCGGGCGTCCATCGCGTTGCGAGTCGCAGAGTCCGGCTTCCAGGCGAAATACGAGTTGATGGTGAAACAAGGAGGATTCCTCTTGGATAGTGGAACTCATCTATCATACCGTCCCGTACGCACTGGAATAAACGACGACGACGAGAAGATGAATATAAGACGATGGAAGGAGGAGATGCAGAGAGCTGCAGTTGAAGTTGAAGTTGCAGTTGCAGACATGAAGCCAACGACGCCACAGATGCGCATAGCTATTTAGTTAACGGACGAAAGGAAAGGAAGGGAAGGGAAAGGAATTCAAGGCGAGGACGCCGACGAATATAGCTTTTTAGCTAGTTATGTTACTTGATATCAAGGTGAACGATGGACATGTATATATTTGTATATATCAATATAAATCAATCAATCAATCAAATTATCAAAGGCCGTTCAGTTTTCATAGCCAGGTATAGTCAGTCACTTTTAAACATACGCAACTCCAAACACCAGCTTGAACACAGGGACAACAGATGCAAAAAGGCAAGGATGAAAATATTCCAATTTTTCTCATGCAAGAAGAAAGCAGAGCAGGATTAACGCTGGATTAAAAAGCAGGCCCAGGGAGTCCATTAAAGGGCGGTTTCGACAACGGCAAAGGTAAGTGATAGCTTGTATATACATCATTTCACGGGTCGTAGGCGGGTTCGTCAGTGCTGAAAAGGAGACAAGAAGGGATATTAATAGCGAGGTTCTGGGTGTACCGTCGTTCCAGCAAGGGGAAGAGAGAAAAAGGAGGCAATGAAGTAAAAGAGAGAAGAAACAGGACGGTTAAATGGGGTATTGGTATGGTATGATGGAAACGAGGGGATGCATGAGGAATGGTATGTATGTACGCCTGTCAGATAATGATGCCTGGCAATGAAGCAATAAAGATTATAATGCAATGGGGCTAAATATGCAACAGCTGAAGGAAAGGAGAGAAGCAAAGCGAGTAGGAAAAGGGGATTGAAAACAATGGGAGCAGGTAGAAAGACAACAGTGGAAATAACGACAACAAAGACAGTTAAAGGTATGATATTTCATTAGTGCCAAAAACGCAAAGCAAAGGAATAGCAAATTAGAGGCGAAAAGGGTCGAAAAGTGGGAACGTTAATAATAGTACGGGTTTGCTCTAGTGCCGTGGTTGTATCCAATATCTAATTCAAGAGGTTCGACTGAATTATCGTCCAGGGGTACCCTCGAAGGTCCGTCGAGTGCTGAGTGTAATGGGAGGAGCCCGCCCAGTACCCAGGCTATTCGTTCGAGGGCGACGAGAGAACTGTGGAATTGTCCTTCCCGCACTCCGCTGCTGAGGGGAATCATCTTCTACACCACCACCACCACCACCAAGACTGGTCCTGGGACCAGAGTAGTCGTCAATGACAGCCCGGATGGTTGGTTGGCCACTTCCGTAACGGCGGGAACCAGGCTGTATGGATACAGATGGGCCTGTTATAACGTTGTTCGAAGTTGAGAGGAATGATCGACGGAGTGGGATTCCAGAGTGAGATGGTGTAGCTGATGTAGTGGTGGTGGTTGTGGCTCGGAATGCAGGAGTGCGAGTGTGCTGATTGCTTGGGGAGTTTTCTTGCTGGAGGTTGGCGTATTCGGGTGTGCACTCGCGGGATGAGCGGTGGAAGCGGTCTCTGCCCATATGCATGCTGTCCGTCACAGTCATGGAGCGAGTGACGGGGCGCAGAGAGCCGTTTGTGGTAGGCTGGAGCTTGGTGTCGTACTCTTCTTGTTCCTGTCGTCTACTACGGAGTAGCGACGAGCGGCGGTTGACTCGTGACTGAGAAGGGGTCGTTAGATGTGTCGTTGATTGGTCTGGTACCTCTTGGGATGGTGATGCTTTTAGGGTCGTCATGCTAGGAGAGAGATTAAGGGTGCTGGTCCGTCGACTGTGAGAGTCGCGGTTGAGGGATGATTGAAGGCGGCTGAAGTTGAACTCCTCGGGTTCATGGCTGATGCTTCGACGGTATGATGCCCCAGGCTCGCCGTCGCCTGCTGAAAAGATCTTCACGGTGGTAGCGTCCCGGCTCACAGGTCTTGATCTGGAGGTGGTAGCGGGCCGCAGTTTGTCCTCGGAGAGCGCAAGACATAGCTCGGTAAGGCCTCGACATACGCTATCTGCCTTTCGACGTAGGACGCGGTCTGGAGTACTGGCCGAAGTGACGACGGACATGCTACTGGTATGTGGCATGCTCGAGGCCAAGGCAGTGGATAAGTTGATAGCATCCGTCGCCGTAGACTCTAGAGCTTGGTAGACTTCGTTGTTCAGAACAGGTTTTGCCTTGGCCAGCGCAGTGTGGAGGAGAGGATGAACTTGGCTGACGGTGAAAGCCGGATCTGTGTCAACCGGTATTGGTGGTGCAACGGGAGGTGCAACGGGAGGCGAACTGGTTTTTTGTTTATGTTTCGGTGACGAAGATACCGTTGTTACCGTCGTCGTGGCCGTTCGGGGTCGCTCCCCTGCCAATGAGAACATGGCTGCAGCGGACGAAGCAAGGGAGTTTGCCCGTCAATTCCAGCTTTCGAATGCGCGATTTTAGATCATCTAGTTCGTCCCAGACGGTCGATGGAGCTGTAGTTGACATAGTGGATTCTGTGCCATCATTCTTGGACTTTGTTGTTGTGTCCGTCCCTATGTTCCGATCCGTTGCTGCATCATAGCTTGTCATTGCGCGAGACTTGCGAGAACTGGCAAGACTGGATTTATATGGTTTTTTGTGAACAAAGTCTGGAACAGAGTCGCGTCTGTCTGCCATATAGCGCTGCGGAGGCTCAGGGGACATTTCATGATTCAAGCGTGCCGGCCTTGTGCGCCCAATTGTCGAACCTGAGCCAGAGCCACTGAAGAACCGAGAACGACCAGCTTCGTCTAGTGGATGGGCTGAAGCGGGCACTCTGGAAGTAGGGAGCTCATAATTGCCCCTCGGTGAGGCATCCTGAGAAAAGGAGGAGTAGTGGCCTCTGTCAGGGGAAGGGGTATCTTCAGTCGTCTTTGCTCTGGAAGAGAGACTGAACTTTGACTATTCACCATGTTAGTAGTTTGTTACCTTGCGCATGCCCTTCTCGGTCCATGTGTAAGTAGCGTTCATGTACATACCCTCCGTCTAGCTTTGGAATCTGTGCTCAGTCGGCTTGAAGACTGCGCTATATTCAGAAAAAGGTCCTCGACCTTGGATCCCCGCGGAGAATCTCTGCTGGTACCACCAAAATGCGCATCTCTATCTCTATCCGTACTCTCTTCCATCGAGACTGAAGCGCGTAGGCTCCGGTCCCTACCTGTTGACATGGTGGTATTAATCTTGTTGTTGGTATTTGTCTTTGTATTGTTATTTTTATTGGTATTTGTGTTTGTATTGCCGTTACTAAAGCTGTTGTTGTTGGTGGAAAAGTTGTTGCTGCTGTTGATGCTGTTGTTGGTATTAGACTCCTCCTTGCGCGGGAGCAGGTCCAGGCATGTGCTTGTACCGGCGCTTGAGTAGTTCGATTTTGGATCTGAATCCAGCGAGGCCGAAGCGGACGCAGAAGTCGAATCTGAAGTCGGCCTGCGCGTCAGTGGCGGATCAGCGGTCGACACGAGTTGCCACGGTTGCTTGTCCTGCGCAACGCTCCGCTGCTGTGTACTCAGGGCTGGCGGAGGCCCCGACGCAGTCTCTATGCCCAGACTGCTGCGAGAAGCGGGAGCTCGCTTATAATGCGGAGACTTGGAGTCCTTTGCGGGCGTGAAATGGAAGCTGTGGCTATGACTATGGCTGAAACTGTTATTGTTGCTGTCGGGGGAGACGGGGCTGGTGAGACTGGTGTTTGTGTTGATAAAGGAAGTGGTGATATGGCGGATGTTCGGGCTGCTGGATGGAGGCGGCGGTTCTTCAGCGAGCCGAGACGGCGTCTGTAGGTACTGGTCCTGGTCTCCCTGTCTGAGAGGCGTGGGCGTGTAGAAGAGCTGGTGCGGGTGGTGTGAGGGCGTAGGCGAGTTGATGGTTGAGGAGTTGTTGCTGTTGCTGTTGCTGTGGTGAAGCTGGTATTGATATGGGTACTGATGTGATGACGGCCGCGACGGCGTATGGATATTGGTCTTCCGGGGCGAGAACGAGGCCAGCGCCGGGTTGGAAAAGCTCTCTGAGCTGAGCGGCGACGAGCTGGACTGCTGGTTAGAGTGACGGCCGGCGTTGGCGTTCGCGTTTGCAGCGTCGATGGAGTGTCTGTTGGGTCGAGGCTGCGGCAGCTGGACGGGCTCCCTGATCAAGGGGTCAGTCTGCCGGCGGTTACGAAGCCATCCCTTGTCCCTGGCAGACTTGGTAGGCGTGACGAGCGTGGTGATGGAGGTCGACGAGGTCTTCTCGAGCAGCATGGCGCTCTCTCTCTATCTCTCTCTCTCTCTGGTCTTTCGTCTTCTGCTGCGTCTTCGTTGTTGTCGCTGGTCGGGCGGCGCACAGTTGGATCGAGAGGTTCAACGCAGCGGCACACACGAACACGGAGACGGCAGCTTAGCTTCACACCATCGTTGAGGGAGCGTTTTGCGTTCCCTTTCGCTTTCCTCTTCGTTTACTCGAACGGCGCGCGGGATTTTAGGTAAGAATAACCTGTGCAGAAGCCAACGGCGGGTGGCTGGCGAGATGTTGGCTCGCTGTTCTGTCTGTCTGTATACAAGGACCGGAGGATATTGACTAAAAAGTGCGGAGTTGCGGGAAAAGGCGAAAAAAATGACGGCCTTTTGGGCAACAAGGAAGAGGGCAATAAAAAAAAGAAACAACAGGAAAAAACAACCAGTCGAGAGACTACTAACGATATGTAAGATGCTGATTGAAGATTTGAAGAATCAACAAGACGAAAAGAGAGGCAGAAGTTGGCCTGGCTCATCCAATAAAGACGGCTGGCCGGCGATGACTTACAGCCCTTCCCGCCTGCAGATAATCAAATCACAGCGCGCTACGTACGGGGCTAGCCTGGGATCCCTTGCCTTGAGTGAGTCTCTGTCGCGCAGTCTCTCGCTGCTGATGGGTTTCCTGTCCCTTGATATAGAGTATTAAGAGGTCTACTAACTATCTACGGGGTAGGCGAGACGACAGAAATCCGACATGTCCAAGAGAAAAGGCTTTTGGCTTGATACAATTGACTTTTCACGGATCCACGGGCGAGAAGGAGAAATGGACGAAGCGAAAGGCTGGGACGGGATCAGGGGCAAAGGCACAGGGAAGGGAAGGGACCTGAGACATGGAGAGGAAGACGAAGACGAAGACGAGGGAGAGACGAGGAAGAGACTAGAGAAAGAGACGATGAGAGGAGAGGAGATGGAGATGCTCTATCTACGACAGACCTAGATACGGAGTACTCGTTGTATAGATCCCTCCCGGTGTACGGAGTACAACCAACTCCTCTCCGGCGTCATGCGTCTTACCAACCGATGTTGGACAGGCTCGCTGGGCCCAGAATATCCCCGACGGCCGAGTAGGACAAGGACGGAAGGAAAGGGCTGGCCGCAAGTAGGACGGGAAGAGAGGGTGACGGCGTGACACGATGATGCAGCGTCTGCTCCGTGTGTATGTACATCTACTTACATCAAGAGGAGAGGAAAGAGGAGAAGGACGTCGACGGAAAGGCCAGAAGACGACATATCATCATGATCTCCATGACACACGCCTCCACGAACCAGCCAGAGCGAGAGAAAGACGAGACAAGCCTGAGGAGGAGGAGCGAGTGTGTGTGTCCTGCCTGTCGATCACATCCACAGGCAACTCGCACCATCTGCCTCTGAAACACACATCAATGAGAGCAGCTGTTGCAGCCAACGACTTACAAGACGACCTGGTATTTCACTCAATACAGAAGACAAGGCGGTTACAGTTAACTATAACTGCCTGCTCCGTTTACCACTATTCTCTGTTTTACTATACACGGCAGAGGGCAAAAGTGGAAGATCTCAACCAAACATCACGAGAAGAGATGAAGAGCAGAAAACTCCACCAGGGGCCCCAGCCTGTCTTCCCGGACCGGAGAATTAGTTTACAGCTTAAGCAGGCAGGTAGGAGAGTGCCCTACTCCGTACACACGAAAGGACGGGGAGAAGGGAAGAAAGGGAGCGGAAGACGAGACTAGATGAGACGAGACAAGGCGAGACGGCTGGTAGTGTCGAGCGAGTCAGAGTGTCGTGTGTCCGCTCCCTCGTCTCTCGTTTTCTCCTTTCTCCTTTTCTTCAGACGAAGATGGCGATGACGATGACGACGAAGACGAACAGGACAGGAGGCTGACGATAGGCATGACGTCCATCCCCTTCATGGTCTGTGTTGATATGCATCGGACAGCTCCAGTGGCAAGTCGACAAAAGGAGAGAGCGTCAGCACCAGCATCGGCAATGAACACCGTCATGAGCATGAACATCAGCCATCTCCACGATGACGGTCATGCGAGTAATGGGCACGGGTGGAGGAGAGACTCCATGCCCATCCGTATCGCTGTTTCACATCTTATTATTTGAGGGTCTTGCTCCTTGGCTCCGCGGTTTCACCTTTGTGAGAGGGAGACAAGACAGCTTTCTTGCACCAAGGAAGGAACAGCTGAAGACGCAGAGAAGACGCAGAGAAGGAAGAGAAGAAGAAAAGCCGAGAAGAGAGAAGAGAAAAGAAGACGACGAAGAAGACGAACCAAGGCAGCGATTCTGCAAGACAAGGCAACGAAAAGGGCCTAGACTTGGGGCAGGAAGACTAACTATACAAGAGATACAAGAGTAAGTGATATTCGTCTTATTGATGACCGATTCGAGTGGGAACGGGCGCCTCTTATTTGCTTGTGGTCTATTTATATCTTTTTCTTTTCTCCTCTGGGCTTGCTAACTAGTTAAACAGGACGTATAAAATCCTAGGGCCGTACGTACCGTCACCGTCAGTACATACCCTTACGCTGTTAGTTACTGAGTAAGAAGGTAGAAGAGAAGAGGAAGACGCAGAAGAAGAAGCAGAGGAGCAAAGAAGCAGGGACTTCCTTACCTCTCTTGACACGGCTGCGTCTTCCGGCCGGACACGAGGCAAGCACAGGGACGAGGGCGTCAAGGGCGTTCGGGTTCCCCATCCGTCTCGTACTCTGTCTTCTCTTCTGCTTCTTTGGATTCTTCTTCTCTTTTACCTACCAAAAGTTGATACGCGGGAAGGCAGAAGGCAGAAGGTACGGAGTATAGTGTGTATATATAGGCGTGCCGACTTATAAGCCGGGGTTCGTCATGTAAGTAAGAGCATGTCGTACATCTCCTGGCGATGGCGAGATATACTTAGTATACATATATATTACTCTCTTACTAACTGCTGACTCTCTTTCCCCTTGACTTTCTCTCCTAGCTGAAGGGGCCAAAGTGTGAGCCCTTGAGACGCCTGGTTGGCTGGTCCTTGCCGCTGCGGCGGAGTTGCTTTTTCCTTGTCTTTTTGCTCCTGTCTTTCTTTCTTTTGCCGGTCCTGTCTTGTCTTTTTACGAGCAGCCCATGTCGACCTTTTACTTACTTACGCTTACTTGTATATCCCAGCTGCCCTCACTCTCTAGAGACTTGGTGAGGGCGAGGAGGAAGGGAGAGACGAAAGAGTAACTTGCTGGTTAGTTTTACTTATAGTTGACTCTGACTTTCTTTTAAGCCTAAAAAGATGAAACAGGAACAGGAAGAAGATGGAAAAGTCAGAAGGGGAGGAAAAAGGCCAACTTTAAGGGTGTTTTGATGCTAAATTTAGACGATCCAAGCCAGCCTCAAGCTGAGAGTCGAGAGTAAAGTCGACACCAGAGAAGACAGAAGACAGAAAGATAAAAGTAGCAGAAGAGAAGAATAAGAAGAAGGAGAAGAAGTAGAAGAAGTAAAAGTAATAAGTAGAGAAGTAGGAGTAGGAGTAGAAGTAGGAGTAGGAGTAAGAAGAAAAGAGTACAGAGTAAGGTATGGTAAGTACCGTAACTTACCGTCTCGTACCGTGCATGACGATACCAAGTCACGGGCCTTCCTCTAGTCGCTCTCCTCTTTTCCCCACCAGCCCCAAGAAAAAGCCCCCCAAAGGGACCCAAGCAGGAGCCTTTTTCGCCCTTCTTTACGTTGACTGCTTGTATTATCTCTCGTATCTGTAATACCGACTTCCAAGCTTACATACCAAAACCGCCCTCGCTCCCTCGTCTTCTTCTTCCTCTTCTACTCTTCCTCGACTTCTCAACCTCAACTTCACCAACTTCACCTTCTTCCTCTTCCTCTTCTTCTCTCTCTCTTCATCTTCGTCTCTTCTTATTCTTCTTCTCTTCTCTCTCCCGCTTCACCCTCTATCGACGTCCCAGCCTGGTCCAAGGGCTGCTCCCACCTCGACTCCACGCTCTTTTTTAGCCGCCGTCTTTCCTTTTCCTTACCTCGTCTCTTCCCAGGCGGAAAGACGTCTCCCTCGTTCGACCCTTTTTCCTAATCAATCAATCAATCAATCAATCAATCAGGCATCCATTGCCATCTCCATCGCTGCCTCCTCCGCCTCTCCAGCTTCTTCTCTTGGGTAGTAGCTCCGGTCCGTGGTGAAACAAGACGTCGACCAAGGTGGACAGCGGAAGAGCAGACCAAAAGGCGAAACAAAACAGCCATCATCCATGATCCCTTCGACCCGCCGTAACCACTGGCAATAACCGGGCTTCGACTCTCTCTCTACCTCTCTTTCGCTTGAGCTCGCTTCTCCTTCCCGACAAGTGTTCTGTTTCCTTCCCATGAGACTAGTGGTGGACAAGTAGTTGACGTTGGGGGATCAGCCAAAGGAGGCTGTGTACGGAGAAGGTGGGTTTTTTTTTTCTTCTCTTCTCCTGCTTCCTCTTCTATATACGGACGGAGTACATGCTCCAGGCAGTTAAAACAAGTTAAGCGCTGGTGCTGGATGGCTTTTGCCGCGCCCTGCTTGTCAACATGCTGTTTCAGGCGTGTTTTTACTTCCTTCTTTTCGCTTCTCCTGGAGCAGTTCATCCTGATCATGACCCTCATGAGACGTCACCCTCCGTCCTTAGCCTCATACTTATGTTTGGTTTGTGCTGCTGGTCATGCTAACTTTCTAGTCACAGACAATTCACCATCACCATCACAACCACTCCTCTCTTATATTTATATCTATCTATCTATATATATATACACATACATACATATATATATACAGCGATAATACTTAAAGAGAGATCTGATGCTTGCGCAACCGCCGATAATGCCTCACCCGACCTCATCGTCACTGCCAACCACAGCTTCAGAGGCGAAACGCAGGTCTCGCTCGCTCTCTCGGTCAAGCTCAGCTGGGTCGACCCGTCACTCGT